AGGAAACAGACCATATGTGTGTTCATGTGTAGTCTATGCAAGTCAATTATACATGTGCCTATCTATTGTGCCCACACCAAGTTGCAGGACACTAAACACAGTACAGGACAATAAGGAGGCTTATGTTCAGTAACAAGAGAGTAAAAAGTCATTTAAATAAATGACTACTTAAAAATACCTGGTGGTATCTTCTTAGCAGTACCTTTCTTGCTTCTTAAGCTTCTTTTTCCAGGTGTTTTTTTGTCCTTTCCCAAGAGGGTCTGTTCATCTTTGGGTCCTTCACTAGGAGTGTTTTCTGAGTTCTCACTTGCAGCCACGTCACAGTGTGATGCGCAACTTTCATTATTGTTGAAACTGTCTTGTTCAAACACTTCAGGTTTTCCCATTGCACTGTCACTGCCAGTCAGACACTCACATCCACCTCCATCAAGTTGATTTTCATTTTCATCTGACACAGAAGGCAAATGTGTTACTGTACTTTCCACACTGTCACCAGGATGATACCCATCTTGTGGCGCAATCTGCAGGTTATATGCAGGGGTTTCGCTGTCATCCATTAGCGCATCTTTTGTTGAACCATTCAAGTTTCATTAAAGTCCTTCCATGCCTACAACGACAAAAAGAAAAAAGCTACTTTATTTTTTTTAACTCAGCGGATTCTCAGTAGTTTTTGATTTTCCTCTTCTCTTGCATTGTTTTTCTCTAAGTATGAAAGAAGGAAATGACTGAAGCTCATTCCTACTCACCTTTGTTGCAGTCGCAATCCTACCTCCACCTTACCTGGTCCTCTCTAATACAATGGTTCTCAACCCTGGCTGTTTTTCATAATTACTGGGGAGTGCTTGCCCAATTCCATGCCTTGAACTGTATCAATCACTGATTATATACACATATATGTTGTTGTTAAGAGCCATTGAGTTGGTTCTAATTCATAGTGACCATGTATAGGGTTTCCACAGAGTGGCTGGTGAGAAGGAACCACCAACCTTATGGTTCAAATTGACCTTGCGGTTGAGTGCTTTATTCCACAGTGCCACACAGGACACACACACACACACACATGAAATGTAACACACAAACATTGATATCCTAGGCATTAATGAGCTGAAAAGGACTAGTTTTGGCCATTTTGAATCTGACAAACACATGGTTTACTGCACTGGGAATGACAAATTGAAGAGGAACGGTGTAGCATTCATTGTCAAAAAAAGAACATATCAAGATCTGTCTTGAAATACAATGGTGTCTGTGATAGG